GCATCTGGGATGTCGACGTTTGGAGCTTCTAAGATCAGCTCTTACTCCTCTGGTTCAGCTCCCACCATAAAGGTTTGATACGTCTAAATGTTGCTCTGTCTGAACCCTCTGGTGGGGGAACTTGTGTCCGAGGATCTATTATGAAGTTCATGTTTTCAAGAATTTTTCTAGAGAATTCGAAGTTTTATAGAAGGACAGATTTACAATCTCAAGGTAGTCATCTTTATTCATGTCATCTTGTGAGGGTTCTTTGTGTTTTAGCCCATCAGTGCCTGTTCAAATGCAATCTATCTTTTTGTTATTTACCAAATTGATTATTCATGTTTCTTTTTTATTCACAGCCTGCTGCCAAAACTTTTGGGAAATCACCAGCTGACAGACATTTGTCTCTCCAAGAAAGAAAAGAAGCGCTGTATAATTTTGCACGAAGGTGAGATTCTCTCGCTATTAGACCTGTCACCAGAGAGGAATGATTGTATATTTTGCAAGAGGAGCATATTTAGTTTTACCATTACCACAGAAATGGCAGACAGATCTGCTACACATGCTGGAGTTACATCTTCCATTTGTCTCTTAACTGTTTTAATCAAGTGTATTTAGACTCATTTATAATCTATGTCTCTTCTGTTCATGTAATAAGACACCTCAGAGAACAGCCACTGAGGCTTCATTATGCACAACACCTTACAGCTGACGTGAGACTTACTTTAAATACATTTCTTAGGTTGTGTCTTTTGCTCAATACAGACTCAGGACTGTGATAAAGCTGCACCGAGCAAACGTCTTCATGTAACAGAACAACTGTCTTCACAAATTTAAACCTTGTAGAAATGTTCTGAAATCTAGATTCAGTCTGAAACGGCAGTCAGAGAACAAGTGATGGAGAGAAAAGTTGGGCGACAGACATGTTTTTGTCAAGCAATAGTACCTGCAAATATTCTGGGTAGCGACATTCAGAGTTGATCAGATGTCTCGTTGCACTGCACTGGAGGTGACCCTTAAATAACTTTCAAGCTACATTAATCTATGATTTTATATCAACGATGAGTCAAATTACGATGTTTAATTATAGACTGCATATTAAAGACAAACATAGCCACAGACAAGTCAGTGAGTGGTTTGTGGTCTACATCTTGTCATCTTGGTTTTCAAACTTGACGTGAGGCGTGAGCTCAAGGACACGACACTCGGCCACGTAGTAGTGACTTGTCAATTATAGTGTAGCCACACTCTAAAACATACGCTGCTCTATCATCTGTTTTACTCTAAATGAAACCATAGTTCCCAAAATAAAGCTCATGCTGTATTGACAGAGACTAGAAACTCGTGACCGAAACCATAAATTCATGTGCAAAATGTTAACTGAGGTAACAGATCAGTTGAGAATTAGATTAATTTTCTGCATAATCAGACTTTTTGTTGCAACCAGAGGAGTCGCCCTCTGCTGGCTGTTTGAAAGAATGCAGGTGTCAGGCACTTCAGCTTCACCTTTCAGACCCAGAGGATATGTCTGTCCTTTGTATCCAGTCTGTGTGTAACATGAAAGGTGTTCACCGTTGTGGTAACTGTTTAGTGTTGCATTAACTCACTGTTTTGGTTGACGGCCTGTATTTTTACTGTTTTGATTAACTTTCACCTCAGAAGCATTGTTTCCTGTCACAAGCAGCAGCTGTTTTCAGTATGAAGCTCAGACTAAGGCCAGTGTTTTGCTTTAAGCATTCGTGGGTACACGAGGGTCCGCTAGCTTGTTCTCGTTCTGAATCCGTAAGAGTCCGCGTAGACCCCTCCGTCCACATTCAGCCCAAAATCTGTGTCAGTGCAGTGACTCAACTACAAGGCCAATTAGTGTGTGTGCTCGGCAGTAGTTTGCATACACATAATACGTAGCTACAGCCTACTATGCATGCATGCAACAGAGTCTTCAAGCGGACTCCTGCGGACTAAATGTAGCATAATAACAACAATTATGCATCTGTGCGCGTTCGCAGCTGTCCGTGAGGGAGTGTAATCAAGGCTTAACTCGCTGTGCTCCCTGCTGAGCATCAGACAGCAGAAAGACACAGCTACTAAATAGCTGATACAGACAGTGCAGCATTTAGCAGCAGAAGAGTTTTTTTTTTAAATCTAAAATCCGTGGTAAAGAACAAAATGCCAGATATGTGGCTCCAAATTGAGGCTATCGCTGCTTTGTGCCTGCTTAATAGGGAACTGTTTCCAAACACATGAATCATATCAACCTTAAGATGGGATAGAAGATCGATGTCGTCTTTACAAGTTGTTGTGTTGCCCTTAAGTGGCCAAAAATGCATCATGGGAGTTTTAACTAAATGCCAGAAAAACATTGATTGGGAAAAAAATGACCCTCAGTGAGCATTACTTTCATTTGACATTTTACAATAGAATGTTCAGGGTGTTTAGTAACGAGACTGGAAACAGAACAAGACAGCTTTTTGGACAAACTTTAACTTTAGGACAAAATGCGTGATTATCTGGTGTTTTATGTTTTATTTTCCATATGAACAGACCTTTAAAATGTAGCATAATAGTTAAACAGTATATTCAGTTTAACTTTGGTCCAAGATACTGAGAAGGTCGTATTTATGCATTATTAAGAAGCAGTTAGAAAAGTGATGACTGTCTGTTTGTGTCACATTCACCATCTGCAAGTGTGTTTTTGTGTTAAAATCTCCACACCTTAAATTGAATTTCAATCTGTTTTTTTGTTTTTGTCTTCCAGACGCTACATTGAAAAGCACGGATTGGATCAGGAGGACAGTCACTGAACACACTTCGGGTCAAGCCATTATCGAAAACCTGTCAGAAAGAAGCATATTCAACTTGCATAGCTGTCTAATTTGAATGGTGATTTTATATTCTCTCAACCAGTTCTGTTGGAAAAAACAGATTTTGTTATTTGCAAATAATTGCGACAAGTATTCAGAACATGTATAAGTTCATGGAATGGTGATATGCATGTGTTTAATTCTTCATTCTGGCTGATACATAATTTTGATAACAGTTTGTATTACGATCCACTGACTGTGAATCATCTATTTATTTTTATAATGTCCAGAGTCGTCGATGAAATTAAAGTTCAGCTTGACCTCGCTTTCAAGAAGTTATTTCAGATGGACGTGAACTCGTGTTGCTTACGGATTGTGTGTAACTCAGATGTGTAACAGAATCTAATGGGCACTTAAAAGTAGGTTTGGGCAAGCAAAGATCAATTTGGAATCCGGTTGGCATTTTAATAGTTCAAGTTGGTTTTATTTGTGGTGTCTGGTGCCAGCCAGCATTTCCCCAAATGCAAAACAACTTAATCCTGCCATAAGAGGGAGCCAGAACGCAAGACTGTAGCTCAGCCGTCCACAACAGCTCTGTAGGAAGAAATAGTCCAGAGTCTGTTCTGTGTTCATGGACGACACAACACATAAAATATAGGAAGCAACAACTGAATCATGTGTTACGAGCATAGACTTATATATATATTGTGTGTGATATGTTTTAAATGTGCAGAAAATTTTGAACATTAGCAAATTGTGCTGGAACACAAGACATTTTAGGGATTTTCATCAGTTCTAACTAATTCACCATTAATATAAATGAGTGTGCATAATTAAAAAGACCACAGCCTCAAACACAAGAGGAGTGTTCTGATTCAGCAGGGATGTTAAACACCTTACTGCATTGTATTCCATTTAGAATGTAGTTTTCTTCCCTTTACGTAGCCTTAAATAGGAAGATTTCCACCTAAAATTAATGCAGAAAAAAGCACAAACTGCTGCATAAAAATTCACCAGAGTGCAGGAAATGAAATGTTTGACTTTATAAATTTCCAATGTCTTGCCCCCAGACCTCCCTCAGTGTTTAAACAAAGTCTCTGCCATGATTATGAGGATATTACCTCAAGACCGTCTCAAGGGAAGATCAAGGTTCTTAACATAAGAGATAATATGAAGCTTTAATAATCCCAAAGGAAATTCTTTTGCCAGATGATGCTCAAAACTGCATATCATGAGAAATGCATTGCATAGTAGAAAAGCAATAAAACCTTACCTAATATATATATAAATAATACTGGCAATGACGCTCAGGTTGTGAAATAATATCACATATTTATGAGAACAAAACCTTCTAAATATATAACTTTGATTTACAGATATGAGTTCTTATGGGTTTAATTCATGAACAGAGAGGGACTGCACAGTTAATTGATGAAATTAATCTGCGGAACCATTACAACTGTAAAGAAAAAAAATAAAAATTAAAAGTCAGGTGTATGGACACAGCTTGCAAACAAATGTCAATGAATGAAACTCAGAGTGATGCTTGATTTCACTGTGAGTGGTTCATTAGTGTTGTCAGTGCAACTTCACGGGTTAAAGACAAAAAAAAAGAATAAATAACATTTATAATTGTGTAGTTTAGAATAAAATGTGTATATTGCAGGTAAGTAAATAATAACAAATAAAACATGTCAGCTTGACTTGGACATAAACGTGCACTGATGCCTGCTATCTAACGAATCCTGTGCAGCACCTGAATGCTTTATTCTTCCTCCCTTCTTATAGTGTCTTATTTTATTCTTGTAAATATATAGTTTGCACTGTTCTTGTTTTATTCTCTCTAAATAAGTTCATTTTATTTTACACTCTTTGCACTGTAAAAAAAAAAAAAAAAGAAAAGATCAAAAGTCATGAAATTCTGTTGCATTTGTGCAATAACAGGAAACGCAATTCGTAAATGTCGCATCGGCAGGTGAACGTGTTCAGGTCCGTAAACGTCGCACAGCCGGCCGCTCATGTGTCAGGGAAACTGTCCGCAGCTCTGAGACAATTCCTGGATACTTTACAAAGGACAATCACCCTGGTTGTTTGTTTTGCGAGTGCTGTTTTGCAACAGAAAAAGTTTGATCATTTTCCGAAGCAGAGCAGTTTTGGATATTCCTGACGGTACGTGAAGGCATCTTCCACCTCCCCGGAAGCGACGTTTTTTTTCCTCTCTCTCCACAGCCGCGATTAAGCTAGCAGGTTAGCCATGTCAGGTGTCGAGGAGACTTCAAATGAGCCTCTAGAAGTTAAAGAAGACCAGGAGTTTGATTTGGAGGCTGAGGACAACCTTGGGGAGGATTATGTCGTTGATCCGACCCGATATATGTTTTTCAGGTAGCGTGTATTTGTCACTTTCACTTGATGTTTGGGTGGCTAGCTTAGCTTTACTAGCTTACTACACCAACTACTTCTGCCTTGAACTTTGTTATAACGCCTTCATGTTTTACTACTGCTTGTTTAATGTCACTTTCATTCATGTATCTCATAATTTCACCACCAAATGTGTATTTTAAACCAACAAATTCAACATTATTTACTGATGTAGCATTGTGTTAATTTAACGGTCAGACAAGGTGGGAAACCAGGTGTAAAAGATGGATGTTGCCAGCGCAGCTTTACAGTTATCTTCATCATTTCAATGTGACTTTACATATTTATCCAATAGTAGTCGAGGTTTGCTACTCTGAGGAAACCCAGCCCCGTGTGTTTGTGTTTCAGGGACAGAAAGGAGTGGGCTGACCTGGAGCCAGTCCCCCAGGACGATGGACCAAATCCTGTGGTCAAGATCGCCTACTCTGAGAAGTGTAAGCTTGTTAGTGAGAAAAGGGAGTTACACAGAGAATTACAGCAGACTGAATGTGACAAGCAAGCACCTTTAAATCCACTAAACAGAGCCTGCAGAGAGAGACATGGTTGTGTTTTTCTAGCAGACATATGAGACCAAACATTATGAGATCTGTAGAACTAATGCACATGCTTTTCTTCCCACAGTCTCAGATGTTTATGATTATTTCCGTGCACTCCTAAAGAACGATGAGAGAAGTGATCGGGCTTTCGCTTTGACAGCAGACGCCATCGAGCTGAATGCTGCAAACTACACAGTCTGGTGAGCATAAGGCTTCTATGTATGACGGATCTATATATTTAGTATTTGATGCTGTGATATTTCCACGACATGATGGGAGACGAGCACAGGAGACATGATTCATGGTTTGAAATCAGAGTTAATTTTAAAGTAGTAATCACTACTTCTGTTGCTGTAGGTTGTGGCTCATAAATGCTGCTTTTCCTCAGTCCAATTGGTTGATAGTTTTTCTCCAATTTCAAGGCTGTCTTTAGCCCGTTTCAGACGTGCACTCTGTCCTGTTTATCTGATAATATGTGAATGTGTAGGCTTCATGTCTGCCGTGTTCACTTTTCTGTAGAAGTCACAACAGGAATCAAATCTCATTGGAGTGGATACATGACATTTCTTTATCACCTTCAACAAGGCACAAGTCTGAACTATGTGGAGTCACAATAACTGATACAAAAACATCAAAGAACTTAAGAGTTTTATAGAAGACTTTTTCAACATTTCAGCACCTTTCTGATTCTCTCTGGCCTGTGATTTCACAGCCATACAAACTGAAATGTTTATAAGAGATTAAAACAAAACAGGTCAGATTAATAAGCAATAAAAAAAATACTCTGGGTTTTGGCAAAATATTAGCAGGAGCTAAACTTGACTTTGGTGCCTCCAGCTGTTTTATGTTTGAGTGTGTTAACTACCTGCAGCATCCACATGAGGATCTACAAAGCACGAGAGTTGCACACATTTATGCACATGCCTCAACAGAAGGAATTTATTAATTATCTAGAGTTATCCCTGACATGGAAACAGGGTCGATGTGGATCTAACAGAAAGTCACACCGTGGTTCACAGATTATTACCTGCAGTTAAATCGTTTGTTTCTCAGCAGACTGACAGGTGCAGCTTAAACAAATGTAATATCCTGAAAAAACTTTGAGCCCCTGTTGAGTATTGTCAGGAGGAGGATGAGAAACACTTAAACATGCAGATGAGATGACTGCTGCTCATAAAGTACTCTGGGTTTCAGGCTGGTTGCCTCCAAACCTACTGCAGTAATGCAAGCAACCATTGAGTGTGTAAATGAGCACACTTTGAAAAGTTTCTGTGTCGTAAATCCTCTTTTTTTTCTCTCTTCTGACCTTTGAAAACATATTTTACATTTTTATTCATATTTTGACACACTGGATTTCAGATTTTCATGAACTATAAGCAATAATCATCAAAATTAAAAGGAAAAAAGGCGTGAAATAATTAACTATACATGCAATTAATATGGACTATATATTAAAGTTTACCTTTTTCTATGAAATTATGGAGAAAGAAAAATGATATTTACCTTTTTTGAGCTGCACCTGTAGATGTAGTATTTTGTTTATTAGTGTGTTATGACACATTACATGACTAAATGTTCTGTCCAGTCTTGTAAGTATGAAGAATATGAAGTGTTTGCTGTGTTTCTCTCCGTCATTATGTCTGAAAAGCTATGGGGAGCATTAAAACAAGTGTGACCTATGTTTGGATATCAGAATGCTGTCATTTTAAGAGACTGATGAAGCAATGTTAAATGTCTTATGTCTGAAAAAAGCAGTCGGTCTCTTAGTGAACAAACAATTTATCATGTCATCATTTACACATATATTCTAACTAAACGTGAAGAAAGATCATTACATCTTTTGTGTGTAGAAATGGATGTCCTCTGTGTAAATGTAATCTAACGTTGGGTTTGGAAACTTCCAGGCACTACAGGCGAGTACTTCTTCAAGCTCTGTCCAAGGACCTGAGGGAGGAGATGAGGTACATTACCGCCATCATCGAGGAGCAACCCAAAAACTATCAAGTCTGGTGAGTGCTGGCGAATTCATTTCACATCACATCTAGAGACAGAAGCAAGAGAGAGAGAGGGGGAGGGCGGGAGCAGGACATCTCTAACGTCATTCGGTTTAATGAAAACATTGAAAAATAAGCATGGGTTTCCAAACTCCTCTTCCAGGCACCACAGACGTATGGTGGTGGAGTGGTTGAATGACCCCTCGGAGGAACTGGAGTTCATTGCGGACATTCTCAGCCAAGATGCGAAGAACTACCACGCCTGGCAGCACAGACAGTGGGTCATCCAGGTAGGTGTTAGCAGAGCTTGGCTTCGAAACTGAGGAACGAGATCCAGTTTTCTGCCCACAGCGAGCCGCTCTGCCAGGCTTCTCTTATTAATGCGCTTGTATGTCGGTGTGCTGTTCGAGTCCTTCTGTGGTTCGTGTTTGTCTCATGCATCGCGGGACCACAACAAAAAAAAAAAAACAGCGCTGCGCGGTTACGTAAACAGGTCTGTCGCTAACATTCATCTTCCTCCGTCTCCAGGAGTACAAACTGTGGGACGGCGAGCTGAAGTTTGTGGAGAATCTCTTGGAAGAAGATGTGAGGAATAACTCCGCGTGGAACCAGAGGCACTTTGTAATTTCTCACACTACAGGATTCTCTGATCCAGCCATAGCGGAGAGAGAGATTCAGTGAGTGCTTTTCCTGAAAAGCAGGACGATTTGGACACACGGCTAATTATCCTTCTGGAGGAAAGTGATAATGCTGCAGTTCCTACGTTAAATCAGTTATTAAGAGCATAAATGTTAAACAGTTACATTTAAGATGAGGCCATACAAATGAAAAAGTTTCTTATCATAACCTCAGCATTGTTCCTGCTTCATTATTTGGTGCATTAGTGTTTCTGCCGCATATATGTGACTCCTCTTCCTCTCTTTGTCTAAGGTATTGTCTAAACCAGATCAAGAAGGCTCCTCACAATGAAAGTGCGTGGAATTATTTGAAAGGGTAAGATGTAAAACACAACGGCGCCGTACATCTAAACCCCAAGAAATCTATAAGGAGCAAAGAAACGTTTGAATTTTCTGTTTCCGGACCGAGTGAAAGCGCTTGCTTCAGTGTGCCATCCCCATTCACATTTCCACACTTCATGCCGTGTTACAGGAGTGAGAGCAAGCGGAGATGAAGTTATTAAAAATAGAAAAGCTCTCTTGACAGCATCCCCTCTCTTTTTTTTTTTTTCTTGCCTTTTTCCCCTCCCTGAAGAATGCTGCAAGACCGAGGCCTGTCTTCTCAGCCGGGTCTGCTGGAGAGGGTCCTGGAGCTGAAGGAGACCCACTGCTCACCTTACCTTCTAGCATTTCTGTTTGACTGCTACGAGGACGCCTTGGAGAGCAGCGTCCAGAAGGAGAACGCAGAGGAGGAGGAGGAGCGAAAGGAAACTTTAAAAAAGGCTCTAGAAGTAAGAGCTTGTGCAAATTTAGAATTCGAAATGTTCTGATTTTCATTACGGTTGTTTTCTGACTCTTCTCGTGGGTTTTTTTTTTCCTACCTTCTTTGCAGATTTGTGAACTTCTGGCACAGGAGAAGGACACCATTCGGAAGGAGTACTGGCAGTTTTTGGGACGCTCTTTAAAGAACAGATACGGGAGCTGCGGTTCGTCTGACGAGCCAGACGTTGCTGAGTCATCGGGCCAGCAGGAGATCAGCTAAGCCTCCAGGAGACTCGCACCATTTCCACTCCCTGTCCCGCTTCGTCAATACTGTCTGCAGAGTCCACCCGTGGAGTTTGATATTACTGTAAATTGCTGTAATGTTTATTCATGAAGAAGTTTTAAAAAAAAAGAAAAAAATCACAACGAACTTTAGGTCATCTGAGGGTCTGAAATACATTCAGATCTCCTTCTTATGAAATAGTAGCTATGTTTTACATCAGAAAAGGAAAGTTGGTTTCAAAGATAAGAGAATTATTCATCACCTTTTTCCATGTTAACAGATCAGTGAAGCTGTGTCATACATCAATCATGCAACCAGTTTAGTTCGTTTGAATGCGTGCATCTTTTTAGTCCTCTGAACTAATCAAGTCCGTTCTGATACACGTCTGAGTGCGTCTGCAAGCAAACCAAGACCCAGTTTGTTGTCCTGAGTGTTGATAGGTTGTTAAGTTCAGATTTGAGTAAAAAGTCTTTAATAATCAGGAGCTATTTGACATCGTTTTTATTCTGTATTTCATAAATTAGTTTGAATTGATTGCATGGTTTTGCTATTTTTTTAAATGTATTTTTTGCATCATTGTGCAAAAGTTCCATGTATGTAATTTAAGTGGTCTGAGAGGAAACCAGGGCTGCAAGTTGGCTCGGTGGTTAGCACTGTTGCCTCACAGCTAGAAGGTTGCCAGTTCGCATCCCAGTGAGGACACCCGGGATCTTTCTGCGTGGAGTCTCCATGTTCTCCCCGTGCAGCGTGGGTTCTCTACGGGTTCTCCAGCTTCCTCCCACACAGTCTAGTGTTGAGGTTAATTGGTGATTCTGAATTGTCCGTAGGTGTGAATGTGAGTGTGCTTGGTTGTCTGTCTCTAAGTGTAGCCCTGTGATAGACTGGTTACCTGTCCAGGTGTCTCCTGTCTTCACCCTGAGTCAGCTGGGATAGACTCCAGCCCCCCATGACCCTAGTGAGGATTAAGTGGTGTATAGATGATGGATGGATGGATGAGAGGAAACTAGACTTCTGCACCTCCTCCTTAAAATATATCCAGTGCATGATGGGAGATTTCAGCCAATCAGAGGGGTTTTCATCCAGAGCAAGTGCAACAGAATAAACAGCAAACCCGGTGAGAGTCAGATGTGTGGTGGGTTATATGGAGGAGAGCTGTGTTCAGATCTCAGGTGAAGCCAACGTTCACTTTTAGTTTGACACTTTTTGTGCATGTGAAGCACACTTTGGCCTGATAGGAGCTGCAGAATCAAAACTGTAGATTTTCAAGTTCAGTTTACTTCCTCGTCTCCAGATTTCTGCCCTCTGCAGCTTTAATGACTGAAGTTCCTCTGAAGACTTTAATTGGACTGTTGGTTGAATGCAAACCCACTTTTTTTTCTCATAAATCTGTTTCTCTATCGTCTGTTCACGTTGATCAGAGAATTTGTGGTTTAACAGACTAAACACAGAAATAACAGTTTGTCGTGACTTTTTTTTATTTCAGCGATAATAAATCAATGGAGAGATGAAACGTGCTGCTGTATCCTCATCAATGACTCGCACAACATCGCCGCTTCCCCATTCTGTCCAAAAATCCACATTTCTCCCTTTAAACGAGCCACTTTCTCGGTGCTGGATGGAGTTTGTTCTGTTTGGTTCTGCGCTGCCAGGAGAGAAGTGAACTAAGCACACGGCACATGTAGCGACACTCCAAGCCTCATGTCCTGGACTCCCTCGGAGTTAGGAAATGGATTTACTCCACTAGATGCAGCTGTTTCTACTTCTGCTGACACTACAACACAATCCTTTCCCCTTTGCGGTTTCTAACCAAGCAGCCAGTGTTCCAGCAGCGTGTAATTATAGCTGCACTAGATCGCTGATCTTAGAGTGGGGCTGATGCTTTTCTCTGCTTTTTTCTTCTCAGAGTGGAGGACACTGGTGGTCAGGATCACGTCATCAGCAGTTATGACGCTGCAAAAATGATAATTTACTCAAATATAGCGCTCAACGAGAATTCATTTTTTTAGTTAGAGGGCGGAAACTTGGAGCACAAACCATATACGAGTGACAAGCCGAAGGAAAAGCCTGAACTCTTGACCTCTCTGTTCTGCTGTTGGAGGCTTTTTGCTGCCTTAGTTTGAGTCCACTTGTCTCCTCTATCTGTATCCTTGTGATGGTTTTAGGATGACAGCACCGTCATCCAATCAGATTTCTTTATACAGCACATTTAAAAGCAACCTGAGTTGACTGAAGTGCTGTAAAAAATGATCAGGCAGCAAAGAAACATGTGCAGACAACAAAACAGGCGAAAGAGAAGAGCAACTTGTGGGATCGATTTCTAAAATAAAAGTCAATGTGAAATATCATTAAGAGCAGCCACAAGCCGTTGAAAAAACATGTCTTGAGGTTTTTCTTGGAAAAATATAAATGAAGGACGAACGTTTGATTGAAAGAGGAAATTTAATTAATTACATTTTTAAACTGAAATTGCTGTATATATTGCTTATTGGATCCTGAGGAAACACTCTCTCATCCTGCCTGTACTACTGTCTATATACAGCAAAATGACAATAAACCTGATTTGATTTGATTTGAAAGCTGCTCCAGAGCTGCTGCTGCAAATGCTCAATTGTGGAACTGTTTAAAAAAAAAAACGCTGCTCTGAGGATCAAGAGGCCTTCAGGTGGAGTCGGGTCAAAGAAGTTCTGAAACGTACCCAAACCAGTGCACATCTTTATAAACAATTTTTAAAAAATCACATCCGTGTTTAACCAGTGTAGCCATGAAAGTTCTGTTTTTGGTAAAAGTTAAGACAAGTGGTTTGTTAAAAGTGATGCAAATAACACGTCATGGAATCACAGTCAGCAGATCTCAGCCCAATCTGTGGAAGAGTTTAGCCCTGAAACACCAAATGAGGGAATATCTTTTGGAAGAACGATGTTTGTTCTTCTAATGGAGTCCCAGGAACTCAGAGAAGCAACACCGAGGAGCACTGAAGCTGTTCTGGTGGCACGTGAATAACCAACTTACTTTATGTGACTTTTTCCTTTAATTTGTCACCCGTCTGCAGGTATGAAACACAACTACAACCACAGCCTCATGGATGCTGGCAAATATCTCACATTTCTGTACGTTTTTGGTGTTAAATGAACCCCTTCCATTAAAAATGTTCAGCTTTGCGTGCGCTACATTTCTCTATAATACATCTTTAGTGCGTCATCACTTTGAAGGTTTTAATAGAGACTCCTGCTCAGAAGAAAGCACAGC